ACCAAAAGAAAAGAATGTCCACACCTTTATCTCAGCAGTTCTGCCAGGCGTCTGTGGCCGCTCTGATCCTTCCCCCACGTGATCTCACCCAAGATGGTGGCTCCTGGAGCAGCCGAGCATCCCGGACTAGAAAGCAATAGATTTCTTGCTTCTGCCACAAATTCCCCCAGCTGTAAGCCTTCCAACTTTCTTAATATTCCTGTATATGTGGTTCAGAGTTCTGGGACCAGCCCCTGAGCTTGCTTGGTCGGGTATTCTGTGTTGTTGGCGGAGCTCCTTTACTGCACTTCCACCCGATCCGCCATCTTGTTTTGATGCAATAACTAGAACTTTTTGAGAGCAGACATTACAGGGAGAATTGGGGAAAATAATGTTCATGTTAATTCTAATTTTAAAGTTTACTGATTTTGTAGTGACTATGTTGTATTGTTGTTAAGTACCATTTAGTTGGTTCTTAACTGGCTAGTCAATTCAAACTCATAGCAACCCTGTGTAGGGTTTCTGAGGAGTGGCTGGTGAGTTTGAACTGCCAACCTTGTGGTTCAAACTGACCTTGAAGTAGAATGTTTATTGCCCTTCTGACAATAATTATGTTAGCATTTGTTTTACAGTTATCAGAGAATATTTTCTCAGTGGCTGAATATAGTGTAATAGATTAATCAGAAGACTGATTAATCCTATCTGTTGCTATATTTGTGAGTCAGTTACTGTCTCTAGGATTTGGCTTTTCCATAAGTAAAAATTTGATCATCTGACTATGTTTAGCATAGGCTTTGTGTTAGGGAGACATACATTTGAAGACATAAAATTTGAAGACTGAGCCTACAACTTATCCTTTAAGCTTTCTGAGCCTGTATTTCTTCCTGATCTCAAAAAAGTAAAAAAACAAGATTCATTTCATAATATATTGTTACAGCCGTTTTCTATCCAAATGTGTTACAGCAGCTTTTAGATCCATCACTTAAGAAACTGAGGCCACTTGGAGAGGTGAAGCAGAGCTTCAGATTTGATTAAGCTGGTTGGCTCAGAGGAGCTAACTTCTCCAGATTCTTAGCCCCGAGTGTAGGTTCAATGCAGGCTTATATAGTGATAGAAATGGGCAGGGGCTAGGTTTTAGACCTGTTTGAGGACAGGGAAGAAATCAGAAGATTGGTCCTACTCAGCAACCTGATTAACATTCTAGCTTGTCTCCTGGGCAGGGAGGAATGGTCCTATGCAGTAATGTGATTAACATTCTAGTTGGTCTCCTGGGAGGGGAGCAGTAAGTTAATGTTATACCTTTTCCTGTTTAATATTTAATATGTTATTGTTGGTAAGTGCCAGCAGTCAGTTCCAACTCATAGCAGCCCTGTATAAAGTTCCCGAGACTGTAAATCTTTGCAGGAGTAGAAAGCCTCCTCTTTTCCTGCCTAATGGCTGGTGGGCTCAAACCGCTGACCTTGTGATTTGCAGCCCAGTGCTTATCTAACAGCCATAATGCTCCTAAGAATATGTATATACTTAAATAGAGAGAGCCTTGGTGTGGTGCTGTACCATAAACATTAGACTCCAAGGTTGGTTTGAATCACAAAATTGGTGGTTCCAGCCATTCCTTGGAAATCCTATGTGAGTTGGAACAAACTTGATGCCATTTAACAACATATAGCGTAGTGGTTACGAATCGGGCTGCGAACCTTAAGGTCAGCAGTTCGAAACTACCAGCTGCACCGCGGGAGAAAGATGAGGCTTTCTACTCCCGTAAAGATTTACACCCTCGGAAAACCCTATACAGGGTCGCTATGGGTCGGAACTGACTCGATGGCACATAACAACAACAACAATATGTGTGTGTTTTTGTTTTTGTTTTTTAATAGACAATAGACTATATTTGAAACAAGATCGCACTCTTGATTTTTAGATGAATATATCAGAACTGCATAATTACTTCATAAATTCTTCTTTGACTTAACATGCTGACATGTCCAGCTATATATATATATGTAAGGAGCTCTGGTAACGTAGTGGTTATGGATCGGGCCGCAGGCTGCAAGATCAGCAGTTTGAAACTACCAGCTGTTCCGCGGGAGAAAGATGAGTCTTTCTGCTCCCGTAAAGATTTACAGCCTCAGAAACCCTGTACAGGGTCGCTCTGAGTCGGAACCGACTCCACGGCACATAACAACAACAGCAACATATATATATGGAGTCCTGGTATGGTGCTGTGGATTAATGCACTGGACTGCAAGGTTGGTTTGAACCGCAAGGTCAGCAGTTTACGCTCACCAGCTGCTCCTTGGAAACCCTATAAGTTGGAACCGACTTGACAGCATTTAGCAACATATATATATTCTGGAAGACATTGGATATATATCAATTTTAAGCATGTTCTGATAGTTAGAAAACTTGCACAATGTGTCATAACCCAGTACAGTTTTCTATGACCTTGTATCATGGGTCTGCTTCTAAAAACTATGTGCTTGTTCCTAGACAGAGCAGCTAATGTCTGCTATCAGGAATTCGATGTGCCTGCAGTTTTTCCTGTGGAGCTGAAGCAATACCTCCCAAACATTCCCTACAGCTACGACAAACAAAGGTTAGTCTTCTAGAAGAGGAATTCCTATCTTCTGCATTTTACAGTACTTAAAAAAAAGTTTTTTTCAGGCTAAGCTATATAAAAATTAGTGTAAGATTTGTGTGTATGTGAAAAATTTTAAGTAGCTTTGTTGTTGTTATGTGCTGTGGAGTTGGTTCTGACTCATAGTTACCCTGCATAGGGTTTCCGAGGCTGCAAATCTTTACGGGAGTAGAAAACTTCATCTTTCTCCTGCAGAACGGCTGGTAGTTTTGAATGGCTGACCTTGAGGTTAGCAGCCCGATTTGTAATCACTACGTTACCAGAGCTCCTTTATAAGTAGCTTGTTGTAGTTGTTGTTAAGTGCCGTTGAATCGGTTCTGACCCATAGCGACCCTGTATAGAGTTTCCGAGGAGCAACTGGTGAGCTTGAACTGCCGACCTTGCAGTTCAACCCAATTTGCAGTCTGGCGCATTAACTCACAGCACCACGTCAGAACTCCCTTATTAGTAGCTTAGGTATTCATAATTATATAAATTATAGATATGTTCATCACATATAAATATAGGTGTGTTTCAAATTATAATTTTTCCATTAACTTAGTTCATTCTGCTTTTATTAGCTATTTTTGTCTAAACAGTATTTAACAAGTTTTAACTTTATAGTTTTTTTCCCTCAAATAATTGTTAATTTTCCTAGCCTTATACTAGGCCCTCATTTTCTTTTTAACAGTTTTTTGGTTTATTTATTTTTATTTTTATTTTTATTGTGAATTGAATGAAAGTTTACATGGAAGAACATTGGTTTTACACTATTGTGTTTCATTTCATTGCAATGATTATAATCCCCTCCATGCATCATCTTTCAACAGTATTTGCTTCTATTTCCTCTGTTGTTTTTTTTTTTGAATGTACACAAAAACACTCAGAATATATATTCATATAAACAACCACATTCTACAAGTCTGCCTCCTGGCCGCCAGCACACAACCTTTCTCTTTCCATGAGTTTCGAGTCCTCAGCTGCTCTATCTCTCCATGTCATCATCTCTGCCTCCATCTCTGGTGTTGTTGCTTCTCTGGATAGGGTCCCATATTCCGCTCATGCTCTTCTCCCTTGATGGTCCTAGGGTCCTCTATACCTGGACTGTAAGATTAACTACTCCCCCTTTTATATTACAAAACTTCTACCTTGCAGTTGTGACAATCACAATTAGTCATGGTAACAATTACTCAATATTGACTCATAAGAATCTTACTCCATCGCCTTTCACCAGACCCGTCTAGACAAGATGAAAACTATTCAGTGGGAGTTCTACCTTCTCCTTCACACTCTGAAACTAAACTCCCTCTTGAAAACTTGTAAGCCAGTCACTTTGTGTCTTTATTGCCTCTTCCATTTTACATAGCCAATATCTAAGTTGCCCATTCCTATCAACCCTGTGTACAGAGGGGATAGGATTTATTCTTGATGTGAAGATTCCTTCCCTCTCAGTTGATATTTTGAGGTACTACATCCATTAATATAGGTCAAGTTACTCAAATTGTAGTAATTTACACTTGTTTCCTTTATCAAAAATTTTTTATCTTCCTCTAGTAGAGTTCTGATCATCAAGCCATTGAAGCTAGGTCAAATGGGTACTATCTGGAAGTTTGAGCATTCCTGTGTGTCTCCCCTCACTTCATATCAGTTAGATGCTTCACTCTCAGCTCTAGCCTTCCATGGCTATGTCCATGGATTCAGCCCAGGTCTCACCATACTTCAGACCAGTCATCCCTTTCTCTTCTCTCTCTCATCTCCAGGTCGATGGGAGTCTATATGGTCTGATTTAGCCCATATCATCATTGTTGCCTTTCCCCCACTTCCACTCACCAGTAGACCAATGCGTTAACCGTCTTTCACATTGTAATTGTTTTGATCATGGACTGACCACTCAGACCATCTGAATTTGTTCTGTTGTCAACTCTTCCATTTGTTGATTGAGTTCCAGGAGGTGCTGCCACGTATGTCAATCTCTGGTTGTTATCTGTTCATATTGGTTCTCAGGCCACAAAACGCCCTTTAGGATGCTTTTCAGTGTAGGATTGGCTTTGGCAAAATCCCTTAGCCTCTGTTTATCCTGGAATGTTTTGATTACACCATCGTATTTGATTGATAGCTTTGCTGGGTAGATGATTCTTGGTTGGCAGTGTTTTTCTTTCAGGGTTTTATATATGTCTCCCCATTGCCTTCTCGCCTACTTGGTTTCTGCTGAGAGATCAGAGTTTAATCTGATTTGATTGCCTTTGTATGTTACACTTCTCTTTTCCCTAGCTGCTTTCAGGATTCTGTCCTTATCTTTGAATTTGGAGAACTTGATTATTATATGTCTTGGTGGTTTTCTTTTGTGGTCTGTCCTTCCTGGGATTTATTGAGCTTCTTGAATGCTTATCTTTTCGCTTTTCAGGATGTTAGGGAAATTTTCTTCCAGAAGCTCTTCAACTGTCTCCTTGTGGGCTTCTGTGATTTTTCCTGTTGTCCAAAATGAATCTTAGACCTTCTTCAAATTTTTTCACCCTTTTTTTCAGCTGGCACTTCTGTCTTAGTAGTATTGAGAGATTTGTGTTCCAGCTCACTAGATCTGGCTTCCAACTCTTCAGTTCTACTCCTTTGCCCTTTCAGTGTATTGTCCATTTCTGATATTCTATTATTAATCATTTGGATCTCTTTTTGTAGGTTTTGAATTGTTTCGAATGCTATATCTATCTTATTTGATTGTTCCTGTAGTGCTTTCCTGACTTCTTCCTTATTTTTCTCAACTTCATTGTAGTTTTTGATACATTTCATAACCATTTTCTGAATTCCTTTTCAGGCATTTCAAAAGCCTGCCCTCCTTCCAGTATGGAGTGTAGGTCTGCCTTCAGCTCATTTGTCTAAGTCACTTTATCTTGTTTCTAGACATGTCCAGAGATGGTCATCTGACCTTAATACTTAGATGAATGTATATTTTGGTATTTTCTATGCTTTCTTATTGCCTTCAGGTAGATGTAATGAGGAGATGGACTTCTCTTTTCACTCTTCTTATTACTTAACTCAGAGTAACTGTTGCAGGTGTTGGCTGGTGTATGGTAGCTGGTATTGGTTCTTGCCTGGAAGGTGGGATTTCATATAACTTCGATTGCTGTTTTTTCTTGGGTAATGTAGGGAGAGAAAGATCCCCATAAGGTAAACAGGGGACCAAAAAACATAGCAGCAAGAGCAAAAAAGACAGATTGCATACTGTAGTTTTTAATTGCAGAAAAAAGAAGAGGAAAAATAAAAAAAATCCTGTAGCCAAATATGAGTGTGACTTCAATGTCTCTCTCTCAGCTTCTTGCCTTCAAGACCACCTGAGAAATTTCAAGATGCCACTGTTGGTCATTATGATGTAACTTGGGATTTAATTTTTGACCTGTTTCCTTTTAGTCGATCTCTCTCCCACTCTACAACCACCATTCAGGCCTTTTCCTAGTGATAAACAGTTCAGGGCCGGCTGTGGCCATTTTGTGTTGCTGTTTGTTTTAAGTGAAAACTGTCCCTTTAAATTTTGAACAGATCTGAGCGCATGTGTAGTAGAACCCTCTGGAGGTGAGAGTTGGGGTAGGGGAGAGTATCCATTCTTTCAGGCACCCCCTCTAGTCACCAGAACAGAGGTGCACAGACAGCGAGAGACCAATGAACAGATACAAATGAAAAAAAAAAAAAAAAGAATATCCACACCTTTTTCTCTGAAGATCTTCAAGTGTCCATGACTACACTGATCCTTCCCTAGCTCCATCTCCCCTAAGATGGTCACTCCAGGAGTCCCTGAAGCTCATGGATCTGCAAGAACTAGATTTCTTGCTTCCTCTACAAATTTCACTAGCTGTAAGCCTTCAAACTTTCTCAATATTCATTTATATGGGATTCAGAGTTCTGGGACCATCCCCTGAACCTGCTTCATCTGGTGTTCTGTGTTATTGATGACAGAGATCTTCACTGCACTTCTCCCTGATTTGCCATCAAGCCCTGCCTCTCCTCCCAAGGTTGTAAATCTTTTTGGAAACAGATTGTCATATCTTTCCACTGTGGAGCAGCTGGTAAGTTTGACCTTTTGATTAGCAACCGAGCATTTAAACACTGTTCCACCAGGACTACTTTTTTGTTTGTTTATAAAATTCATTTATTTTGTTTTAAAGAAAGACTTTATTGTGAACTGAGTGAAGGTTTACAGGGCAGATCATCAGTTTTATATTCAGCAAACCACACACTTTTGCTTCCTTACAGTGATTGCAATCTCCTCCATGTATCACCAATTAGCAGTATTTACCGCTATTTCCTTGCACTCTTCCCTGTGTCTCCAGCTACCTTCATCTTTCTTCTTGAGTATTGCCTGACCCATCACCCATGTTAACATGTGTCTACTTTATGGCCTATGAATAGTTCCCTCCCCTCCTATCCTCCTAAATTCATGTATTCTTACACAGACACAACAAGTGGGTTTTTAAAGAACAGAGATTTATTTTCTTACAGTTCTGAGCCTAAATGTCCAAATCAAAGTCTGAGCCTTGTCAATTCCTTCCTTGGGTCTTCCTGGTTTCTTGGTGATCCAGACATTGATTCTGACTTTCCCAGTGTTTGTATATACCTGTAGTTACCATCCTATATGAGAATGGCTTTCTTTGTTAAGCTGTTGTTATTATTAAGTGCCGTGGAGTCAGTTCCTACTTATAGCAATCCTCTATAGGGTTTTCAAGGAGTGGCGGCAAGTGTGAACCATTGACCTTGAGGCTCAAACCAACCTTGTGGTCCAGTGCTTTATCCCACAGCGCCACATCAGGACTTGTTGTTATATTCATGAGGCAATATTAGTGCAGGTGTATCTTACTTCAATCTCCCTTGAGATTTAAAAGCAGAAAAAACAGGCAGTACAAAAAAGTAGAAATGGGGGAAGATAGATACCAAGCCACATGGAAATCACAAGGAACAAGATACAGAAGATCGGATGTCACTTTGAACTTGGA